GGGGGGGTGCAGCGGTCTGATGTGGACTGAAGGACAGGTGAAAGGAAGGTAAGTGCTGATGGTGAATTGTTCGATGTGTGCAGAAGACAGGGCGCAGGCGTATTTGAAGAGGCTCTGATTCAATATCAGGAGAATTGCAGCAGTGTCAGTGGGTTAGTATTCTCTGCATCAACTCCGCCATTGTTTCTTTGACTTGACTTCATTGTTTGTTGTTTACTTGACTTTGGGCCTTGGTCCCCTGCAGAACATTTCAAATGTATCTGGACAAAGCAGTGGTCTCGATACATTCAACATGTTGGACGGGTCCGAATGTATCTGGTCCATATTCCATTCCAGATGCATGCCGCACGTTTATTAGTGGACGGAGGCCGTTTGTTAAGCTGGGTTATTATCTGCTGCACTGCTCTGGGTCTGATACATGCAAAGGCTTCGATGGAAGGGATGGAAAATCGAAAAAGGGATGGAAAATCGAAGAAGGGATGGAAGAAAGCTAGGCTACCAGAGTGGCCCGAGGGCCGAGACCACTTGCCCAGCCGGGTCAAAAAAAAAAAAAAAATAGAAGTAAAGAAAAGTAATTTTGTTTTTTGCTGTGTAGCACGGCGAACGTGTTCGCGCCCCTTCACGTTCGCGCGAACGTGTTCACCCGTTCGTGCGAACAGCTCGCGAACATGTTCGGGCGAACATAATTTTTTTTTCGTAGAAGGTGAAACTCCGACGAAACAGTTTGTCACAGCCCCTCGTTTGTTGTCCTCTTCTCTCTCTCTGCCTACGGTTTACCGGGCAGTTCTGTTTGTGACGATATATATTTTTTTACTTTTTTCGGTTCTTGATTTTTAACTCATCGTTGGCTACGAATTTGAACACGACTCCAAGGCAAAAGTTGCTTGTATTGTTATTCTACATAACATATTTTTTTTCCAGAATTTTTTGAGATTTTTTTTTTTTTTTCAAAAATATTTTTTATGTTCGCGTTCGGAGGTTTTGGTGCACTTGTTCGCGTTCGGGCGAACATGTTCGCGTTCGCCTCCGAATGCGAACACGGTGCTACATAGGTTTTTTGTTTTAAATTTGGTAAAGAAGTTTTCGATGTGACCTTGAGGCAAAAGTTGTTCAGTTTATTTTTTGCATAGCGTAGTTTTCTGTTTTTTTTTGTTTTTTTTTTTTTTCTCGCTGGGACCTTCTCTGGTCCTTGCACGGCCGGGGCGCCCGGGAAGACAAGGTGACCCCGGCGGCACAGCTGGTAGCCTAGGAAAAAGGAGAAAAAACGGAAAAAAAATGAAAAAGGAAAAAAGGTCTTCTATGGAAGCCTAACAGAGCTGAAGCGTAGCCGTTCTTTCCTTGGTTAAGCAACAATTACATGTAGCATTCACCCACAAGGAAAGTACATGTAAAGAGCTGAACGGTTCACAGAACCGGTGGTTAAGAGATCCTGAGCTAGGCTACCAGAGTGGCCGGGAACCACTTGCCCGGCCGGGGAAAAAAAAAAAAATCATAATTAAAAAATAAATATAATTAAAATATTCTGTTTTTTTAATTTTATTTTTAAATTTGGTAAAAAATTCGATGTTACCCTGAGGCAAAAGTTGTTCAGTTTATTTTTCTCTAGAACTTCTTCTGTTTTTTTTTTTTTTTTTTTTTTTTTTGGCCGGGACCTTCTCTTGTCCTTGCACGGCCGGGCAGCCCGGGAAAACAAGGTGGCCCGGGCGGCGCCCCGGCTGGTAGCCTAGATCCTGGGGTCAATCTCCGACACGTACGATAACCCATGGTTACCCAACAGTTTCATGCAATGCAACTCTTGAGAAATAGATCCCAAGGTCAAACCAAACCCTGACACATAACCAACAGTTATCTGTAGCATTCATCCACAAAGAAAGTACATGTAAAAGAGCTGAATGGTTAACAGATGATGAGGTAAAAAAAAACCTGACGTATCAAACCCTGACGTATAGAATAACCCATAGTTAACCAACAGTTACACGTGACTGTTGATCAACAGATCATGAGGTCAAACCCTGACGGATACAAGAACGTAAAACGGGCTACCCCCCTTTTTCTCTGGTAGAGCAAAGAGTTACATTTTTTTTTTTTTTTTGGGGGGGGGAGGTCAGGGTCAGTGGTGAGTTCAAAATGGGGTACTGGGGGTGACCAGAGCAAAATGTGCGAATGTGCACGACTGGCGAAGAAGACCTGCTTTACTGGGGGTTAAGATTGGGAAGTGTAACGAAACGTCTCCGCGTTCTTCTTAAAGCACCAGTTCATGCCAGTGATCAGCCGCGGCCCCCTTTTGGACGCCGCCCGCCACCGATTCATTTTATCTACGGCTGGCGCTCGGCCTCCTAAATTTTCGGAGAGGCTCAAAATAGGCTCTTCAGTTGCCTGGGGTCATGTACTGGTGGCTTAAAATTTAAATCTTCGAAAAAAAAAAGAATTTCTCTGCACCTTGCTGCCTGGATTTCATATTGGAATGGCTATAAGAAGTGTTTTTTTTTTTTTTTTTTTTTTTTTTGAAGAGTAGTGTGTTGTTTCTGGTTAACTAGACATCTCATTTTTCACTTATTTTCTAAGATTAGTGCCAACCAAAATAGGCGCTTTGTTCACTTTCTTCAATCTAGTTACTGGGAAGTTTTTGGGGAAAACCTGGTCGTCTGACAAGCTGTCTGGTCTGGCATCCATCTCTGCGTTGCAAGAGCTCTGCGCCTGCTGGATGTCCTGACTGGTACCGTCTTCATCCGAATACAACGTACGGTCGTTAATGCTGTGTATCTAAAGATTCTAAACTCAATGTTGCCCCAGATACATACAGCTATAATAAGTTTGAAAATAACCGTATGTTGTATTCGGGTGAAGACTGTAGCATTGGGCGTAAAACACATGACAAGATGAAGCTATGTAAGGTGCACCGGAGAAGCTCCCTCGTTATGAGAGTGCATAAGTAGATCCTCTGCTGATACATCCCTTCTGAATGATTTTAGTTTGGTCGTCATCTGATTGCATCTGGTTCGAACTTGGGTCTGATTCAGATTTGAACAGTGCATGGGTGAACCAACTGAGCTAACCTGATAAATCTTCCCTCTTTTTCTTTTTTTCTTTTTCCATTCATGAAATTCCATCTGGATTGGAGCGCAGGTCTGGGTGTACTTCCTTCTATTCCAGCAGCGACTGCTATTTTTAAGTGCCACCCTGGACATGCAAGACACCCACCCACCTTCCTCCTCGTTCTCCCTGTCCTCCTCCGCTTCCTCCTCCTCCTCCTCCTCCTCCTCTCCCTGTATTCCTCCTTCACCTCCCCTCCTGCTTTCTTTTCCTTTTTCTCCTCCTCCTCCCCTCGCTTCTCTTTCTCCTCCTTTAACCCACCATCCTCCTAATTCCGTCTCCTCCTCGTCGTCCTTTTTGTCCTCCTCCTTTTTGTCCTCCTCGTCATCTTTTTACTTCTTGTTCTTCTTCTCCTCGTACCGCTCTGGACATGCCAGACAACCACCCACCTTCCTCCTCGTTCTCCCCGTCCTCCGCCTGCTCCTCCTCCTCCTCCTCCTCCTCCTCCTCTTTCTCCTCCTCTCCCTGTCCTCCTCCTTTACCTCCCCTCCTGCTTTCATTTCCTTTTTTTCTCCTCCTCCTCCCCTCGCTCCTCTTACTCCTCCTTTACCCCACCGTCCTCCTCTTCTGTCTCCTCCTCGTCGTCCTTTTGTCCTCCTCGTCATCTTTTTACTTCTTGTTCGTCTTCTCCTCGTACCACTACTGCGTCATGCTTCACTTCTTGTTGTTTTATGTGCTGTGTCAGAAGCGTATACCCTGCCTGGATTGTATTGAACTCGTCTAGAGGGAGACATTGACATCGTTTCCGTCTTTTTGTGAAACAGTTGGCTGATGCTGACTGAACTGAAGCTTCTGCACCAGGATTTTGAAGGCACTCTAGAATGTGCAGACAAGGGGCGGCAGTGCGTTATCCAGGCCCAGGATGAGCTAGGACTGGGGCTTTCTCGTGCAGAAATGGAGCTGATTGTTCTACAAGCGAAGGCACTAGCAGAGCTTGGGGATCTGGATCGAGCAGAGTCGCTCTTACACCACGTGTTGCAGGTTCGTTTGCTGCCTTTGTCCTTTCGCCGGTTCCACGGGCCCGAAGGGTTCGCAGCTTCGCCCTGATGCATCTCCTGCACAGTGGAAAATGGGCTTTGCTTCAGGGCGAACTCTTCGGACCCGTGGGCCCGTCTGGTACTATGACCTTGTCTGTCACCCACGGGCCTTGCTCAGTTCGTACACCCATGAACTGTTCGAACATAGACCTGAGTTCGAATCCCCGGATGGAATCAGATGAGTGAAAAATAAAAAATAACTTTGAATTAACCTGGGGCCGGTCAGCTCAAAGATGGTACCTCAAGGTCGTCGCCTTGAAAAAAAAAAGGAGGACCTTCTCTGTGTGCAAACTCTGCACAGAGAGCAGTGGGGACAAGGTGTTTGCCTGACACTGCAATTGTGAAACTGCAACCATCTTCAGGGGTAGACCAGGCTACCATCTTCCCTGAAATAGAATGCATCATGGTCATCATAGTTGTATTCGGGGTAACTTTCAGTCTAGATACAGTGACAATAACCATACGTTCTATTCGGGTGGATACAGTGCTTCGCACTGGACCAGCCTCTGTTCCACATGTAGCAAGATCAGCTTTGCTATGTTTAATACCTGATCAAGACTGTCGGATCTCGTCAGAGGGTCTGTGTTTAATAAGCTTCAGGGGAAGTCTGTGTTTAATAATGTTCGTGGGAAGTCGGTGTTTAGTAATCTTCCGGGGACCTATCGCTACCGTCTTTCCCTGAACACATCCTACTCTATCGTGAATGTATACAAGCTATCTTTCAGGCCTGATAGAGTCAAGATGAGGCTACATTGTTTGTGGGGAGAGTCTCTAGTTTTCTTTGCCGGACCAATGCTGGTTGCAATTTGCAAATGTGCAAATCAAGGGGTACACAGGGCCATCGATGGGTGGCCCGTCTCCGGTGACACTGGCACGAGGGATTCTGTAGCCTTTCTCGGG